TATACCCTAGGTGTTCCCAACGCTAAAGGAATTCAAGAAAGACATGAAAAAGGACAGAAAGATGTCAGCAAGTTTAACCCCAGAAAGTGAAGAAAACAACCACATTTTATCCCGTTCATGGAATTCTTTTCGTGACCTTTTTCTGGCCAGATCCACACAGAACGGAACCATAGCCTGAATGTTGATCTGGCCAATGCATAGAAAAAAAAAATCAGTTATTTCGGTAATTTTCAGTGCAAAGATGCGGCCTTAGCCGTTCAATGCTTATTATCTCATCTGCAGGAACTGCCGACAAATATCACAAACCCGACCGACAGCAAGGGATGATAAATAACAGTGTCCCTGCTGGGTTCCTGCCAAAAAGCTGATTTATCCAGCACAGCGCGTTTGAAACCCAGTGCAGAGGAAACCGTGCAAATTAATATGTAAAAGAGTTGCCAATGATTAAATGGAAAACTACAAGTTGTTTCTGGCATACAGTCCTTCTGGACCACGGTCACGTTGAAGAAAAGCTTACAGAAATGAGAAGGTTCCATTTACCACAGTAAACGTCACCAGAAATCCTACGTGGATCACTCCACAGCTGCGTCTTCCTCCAAGCTCATGGTCCCCACCGGCGCCCGCACACCTGTGCATAGACCCTTGCCCTGCAATCACTGTCCCGGAGAATAACCGGCCTCAAAGTTTTACATTCCACCCTGACAACTGACGGGAGCCACAGTTGCCCAGCACAGCTGTGGTCTGAAGGCCAATGTCAGGAGGTGGGAGCTGGCAAATCCAGTTCCAACTGTCAATTCAGGGGGAGCGATCCCTTCTTAGGGCAGTGCGTTCTTGGAAGCTCAGGGCCCTGGGCAGCTAGCTCGATGCTGGTCCCTGAAACTCCCATGGGGCTCTAATCTCAAAATCCAATTTGAAAACAGAGAAAAAAAAAAAAACCACGGTGACTCAAAATACTTGAGATGTTAAGTCACCATCAGCGTTTTGACTGTGTCCATTAAAAAGGAATGCGTTTCCTAAACCTTCTGAATGTTGTGATATCAGTGAACATGAACACCTCATCTTCCTACCTGCTCTTGGATCCTTAACATCTTATAAATACGAATTGTTTGCACGATTGTGAATAAACGAAACGAGGGCAAATAAACGAAATTATTCCTATTTATTTTTTCTTCCCAAAGGCCATTTAATCAGATCATTCTAACAGTCCTCGTAAGAATGCTGTGATTGTGGCTACAATCGCTCATTGTTCATTTTGCTGCTACGTTGACACATCATCGTTAAGTGAAGAGAAATTAGTTTGATTTAGGCTGTGGATTATGCTTTGAAATCTTTTTAAAGATGTTTAATCTTTAATTAAAATGTTTATTTATTTATTTTGACAGAGAGAGAGAGAGAGAGAGAGAGAGCGCGCGAGCGTGCGAGCAGGGGAGAGAGGGGAAAGAGAGGGAGAGAGAAAAATCCCAAGCAGGCTCTTCGCTGCCAGCAGAAAGCCCCACCTGGGGCCCAATCTCACGAACCGTGAGCCAAAATCAAGAGTTGGATGCTTCACCGACTGAGCCACCCAGGTGCCCCTGTGTTTTGGAATCTTAAATAGATTTTAGTCATTTAGGTTTAAAATTTAAAACTATGGTTTTTATAACACAGTTGGTAATGTATGTATTTTTATCCCAAACTTTAGAAGAAGAGGACAAAAATATTAGGAAATACACTTCATATGTCTTAAAGCTTGCTAAAAGATTATGCATTGATGATGTTATCTCTGAACTAACACTTTCTTATACCATAATCATTCCTCACTTTTAATATCTGGCCAACACTTTACCATTAAAGAAGTGAAGTAGCTGCTCTGCTTTGTAATAACTGCCATTTTAAATAGAATTTTCCCATAGCATAACATGCTCAGTAAATAACAGCCATTATTATTATGGCAATCTACACTGCCCAGTGTCTGCTCCAAAGATTATATACACGATTATTCATTTTTGAGAGACAGCATGAGCAGGGGAGGGGCAGAGAGAGAGGGAGACACAGAGTCTGAAGCAGGCTCCAGGCTCTGAGCTGTCAGCACAGAGCCCGACGCGGGGCTCGAACTCACAGACTGTGAGATCATGACCTGAGCTGAAGTCGGATGCTCAACCGACTGAGCCACCCAGGCGCCCCAAGATTGTATTATTTTATTTTTATTTTTATTTTTATTTTTTTAATTAAAAAAAAATTTTTTTTTCAACGTTTATTTATTTTTGGGACATAGAGAGACAGAGCATGAACGAGGGAGGGGCAGAGAGAGAGGGAGACACAGAATCTGAAGCAGGCTCCAGGCTCTGAGCTGTCAGCACAGAGCCTGGTGTGGGGCTCAAACCCACGAACCACGAGATTGTGACCTGAAGTCAAATGCCTAACTGAGTCACCCAGGTGCCCCAGGATTATATTTTATATAACATATTTACACATTTGTATAAATATAACATTTATGTTTTAAAAAATGTACTTTGTGATCCATTAGTGGGTCATGAAATCAATTTAGTGGGTCTCAGCCAGAATTTTATAAAAAATGAAATAAAATAGAAAACATATTTGAATGCATTTCATGTGGTAAGAGACAGAACTGTTTCACGAAACATGTTTTAGTATTATGAACAGTGTGTGTGTGTGTGTGTGTGTGTGTGTGTGTGTGTGTGTGTGTAAACTGTATTTCTTACCACTAATTGCCTTTAAAAGTTTGAAAGCCATTGTTACAAGGCTTTTATTTCTCATGAAAATAATGAAAACACAGTATTCATTCCAGAATAAAGGAAAATAGCTATATTTATTTTTCTATAATTAATATTTGATTCTTATCTTAAATATTCAAAACACCATTACTCAGAGGTAAAAGGTATTGAAAGCATTTAAGAGAATTTTCTATTCCTTTTCCATGGGCGCCATTAGAGAATTAATGAGCTGGTGTTTGTTGACATGATTATTTTCCACAAATGGGTTCTCTTTCCTTTTCCATTTATCTACCATGAAATGTAAGACATCCAAGGACTCTTGCTGTTTAGTTTACTGTTCTCTAGTGGTGACCTATCTCCATGGCAAATACATGACAATCTCCCTTTACAACAAACTGATCTATAACAAAATAGCATCTCATTGGAAGTGTACGAAAAATAACACTAACCCATCCACCCAAACACCCACCTGCATCATGGTCACCTTTCTGTGTTAAAACCCTTCGAGTGTCTACGAACTCTCTTCTCAGAAATCATAATGTCGTGGGCAGAAGAAAAAGAAACAATTAGTTGCACTTTACAACTGTGCGTTTCTGCTTGTGGAGAAAATAGGCAAAGTAGAAAATAAAAGGAAGGGTCCACCTTTGGGGGTCAATGTTAACGTTTGTTACAAGTGTTAGGGAGCAAAGGCAGGAATCCCACACTCCCTTGGAAAGTCGCAAACTCTGTGTTGCTATTAAGCCTATCTCACTGACATCAACATTCAGGACAAGGGGTAGGTGCTGGAGCATGGCCAACCAGAAGAATGGGGGTGGGGGGGTTCTACCCCTGAACAGAATTCACAAATATGCCCCTTCACTTTCTCCAGATTCACTCTGGTTAGATCATCCACCGTGACCCCTTAAAGGTAACATTCATTTCTAACAGAAGGGGTTTCCATAGGAAGTCTTTCTATGACAAATGCAGAGACTTAAAAGGGCAAGGAAGATTCTAAGAGTCCCCTGTCTCACAGTTTAGTTCAAACCATTTAGTGAGTACTTACTCCGTGTCAGGTACTATGTTAGGGGCTGGAGACAGAGATGAGTTTCCAACTGAGTGGGAGAGACCCCAACACACACGTACAAATGACAGTCGCATGAGCTGAGCTATACTCGAAATACAAAGGGGGCATAGAGGAGAAATCCCCATCCCAGGTGGAGAGCCGATGCACATCAATGGAAGTTTCTTAAAGAAGTGATGTTGGAGCTGAGTCTTGGAGAAGAGAGACAGGTGCTTCCCCCCAGGGAAGGTCAGACAGCATGATGTATGTTTGTTTGGGACGTTGCAAAAAGGCTAAACCATATGAGATTTGCAAGCTTTGAAACAATAATTTGATTTGGTTTGGCCTAAGCACTGCATGTGCTGAGGATCCCACCAGCAGTCTGGGAGTGCTGGGAAGCAGCGAGATGCGGGGAGAGAGGAGAGACCACACTGAAGACAGGGCAAAGGGCAGGCCAACCTCTCACAGGCTGGGATTTTGTCCTAGGGCTAAGATAACGCTTGAGGTGCTAGGATTGCCTCAGTGTTCAAAAGTGTCATTCAAAAAAAAATTTTAAACATCAAAAAAAGACATTTATAAAACATTTAAAAGGACATTTTCTTAATCATTCTATCTTCTTAAAATTGTAACTATTTTCAAACCTATTTCCTTTAATGTTTTATCACACAGTTTCTTTACATATGCCATTTTAGTATGCAAAACCTTTTGCACTTTAGCACGTTGGGCTGGTAAATCATTTCCCATGTAGGCATCATATATGTTATTATTTTTTTGATGTTTATTTATTTATTTTTGAGAGAGAGACAGAGAGAGAGAGACAGAGAGAAGAGGGGAGGGGCAGAGAGAGAGAGGGAGACACAGAATCTAAAGCAGGCTCCAGGCTCCACACTGTTAGCACAGAGCCCGATGAGGGGCTTGAACTCACAAACCCCGAGATCGTGACCTGAGCCGAAGTCGGATGCTTAACCGACTGAGCCACCCAGGAGCCCCTCATATATGTTCTTTTGAATGGCTGTAGAGGTTTCATTGGGTTCTCACCATGACCAACTTAACCATTTCCTTTCTGCGTGTCAGGTAGGTAGTCTCCAGATTTTCTCATGACAAACGACACCTCCATAAAGAGTTTCTACATATCTATTTATCTTACGCTTTCCTTGAGGTAAATTCTAAAGTGTAAGGATCCTAGGCTACCAGGAATGAACACCGTTATGGCCTTTTTTTCTCCAGGGGGCAGACGGCTTGGTACTTACAGTTTTGCTCCAAGTCAGGCCGGTGGTATGGTGTTCCTTGATGTATGCTTGCAGAGCACTCCAAATGTTCAAATAGGACTTCACCCAATCCACATGGCGTAAATCGCTTTGTTATAAAAGAGGGTGGAAGAGAGTAGAGTTAGGATCTAAGATAAAATTTAAAAACCACTAACAGGAACGTGGTAATCCAGTAACTAAGGCTCAGGAGGACCCTGGACCAGTTGTCTTTCTGGGTCAGTCACCGTGAACCAATTTCCGGAAAGGACCCTGAAAGGCTGGTGGCCCAGGTCTCACCTGAGGGGAGCCGAGTGCCCTCCCTGAGCTCCAGGTGAGGGGCCAAGGGGACCCCGGGGAGCAGATCCAGCAATTTGGGCCGTGCGCCCTCACATGACCTCTAACTAGAAGGTGACCATGGAAGAGACTATCTCTTTCTGTACCTGCTTCTGGTGCAGAATGAGAACAATGTGTTTCGGAGGGGAGAAGGGTATTGGAAGAAAAAAAAGTCCTTTGGCTTTCTAATAATTTGGTTGGTTTATTTGGCCAAGGGAGTAGTAAGGAGGATGCTGATGCAAGGAGACGATTTCCCACAAACAGGTAACACCCAGTCCCTAACACAACGTGGGGTTTGTAGCATTGGGCACGACCGCTCAACCAGACCCCCGTTTCCAAGACAGAGCGAGCAAACTGTATGAGGGGAGCACGGCACTGTGGCTGCTCTGTGTTGTTTTGTTTTGATAGAACAGCTTTGTTGACATACAACTCACATCCCATACAATTCATCCATTGATTTAAAAACACTTTTTTAATGTGTATTTATTTTTGAGAGAGAGAGAGAGAGAGAGAGCACAAGCAGAGGGAGGGGCAGAGAGAGACAGAGAGAGAGAGGGAGACACAGAATCGGAAGCAGGCTCCAGGCTCCGAGCTGTCAGCACAGAGCCGGACGTGGGGCTCGAACTCACAAAACGTGAGATCATGACCTGAGCCGAAGTCGGACAGTTCACTGACTGAGCCACCCAGTTGCCCCTCAATTCACCCATTTAAAGTGTATAATCCAATGGTTTAGGTCAGCAGCCATGCAATCATCACCACGGTCAACTTTACATTACATCACCTCAGAAAGAAATCCCACACCCATCAGCCGTTACTGCACATTTCCCCCAAACTTCCCCAGCCCTGGACAATTCCTAAGCTACTGTCTGTCTCTACGGATTTGCCCATTCTGGCATGTCACAGAAATGGAATCGTACAGTATGTGGCGTTTTCTGTGTGTCTGACTTCTTTCACTTAGCCTGTTTTCAAGTTTCATCCATGTTGCTCTTCTGTCAATGCTTCGTTGCTTTAACGGCTGAACAACATACCATCGTATGTGCATACACATTTTATTTATCTGTTCAGTAGTCGATGAACATTTGGGTTGTTTCCACTTTGGGGCTATTATAAACAATGTTGCTACAAACATTTGTGCACAAGCTTCTGTGTGAACATGTTTTATTTCTTTTAGAGATACACCTTGGAGTAGAACTGGCGAGTGTGTCTGGTTTTGGCGGTAAAAAATATCAGGACGTATTTCTTTTTTTTTTTTAAGTTTGTTTATTTATTTTGAGAGAGGAAGAGAGTGTCCGCGGGAGAGGGGCAGGGAGAAAGTAAGAATCCCAAGTAGGCTCTGTGCAGTCAGTGCAAGAGCCCCACGTGTGGCTCAGTCTCCCGAATCGTGAGATCGTGACCTGAGTGGAAATCAAGAGTTAGATGCTTAACCGACTGAGCCACTCAGGCACCCCTCGGTACATATGTATTTAAATGTTTATTTATTTTTGAGAGGGGGGAGGGGCAGAAAGAGAGGGGACAGAATCTGAAGGAGACTCCATGCTGTCAGCACAGAGGCCAACGCAGGGCTCGAACTCATGGACTGTGAGACCATGACCTGAAGTCAGACACTTAACGGACTGAGCCACCCAGGCTTCCCAGTACGTATCTCCTACACTGAGTGGTGGATATAGGACTATCTTTTGTGTTGTGATTATATTTTCCGTATATTTTATAAATATTCTTTCGTATCTCCTCAATGCTTCTGAAAACTGAAAATAACCTGAAACAGACGCAGTATTGGTCAATGACCTGGTCCTCACGTTTCCTTCCCACTGAACAGTCTGGGCCGGCCGGTGAGGTGCGGGAGCCCCTCGATTTGCTGACCGATAAGCACTTCCACTTCTGCCGCCGGGAGCCGCTCTCCAGCCCAGCGCCCAGGGGGTGGATGTCTCTTGCTCTTGTTTTTGCCTCATTCCTTCCGTGAATGACTAGACATCAGCCCCATTACATACAGCCAGCTGTTGACAGGGCCGGCCATGACATTATCGGAGAGGAAGGACTCTCATAACCCTTCCTGCAGCGGAGACACTGCGGCTTGTCTCCATTCAGCCCATTTTCAATTCCAAACCCAGTGTTAAGTGTCTCCAGGACCTATTATTTGTGCTGTGGAATGTGATGTCTATTGAAGCTGGATCTGCAGGCAAAGCTCCTTGGTTGGGGCTCATCTGTACTGCCCTTCTTAGAGATGTCTCTCCATCCGCCCCAGTTGTATTTCGTCTCCACGCCCTCGCTGGTTCCCCTCTCAGGGGCCTGGTTCACTGTCTCAGCTCACTCCTGTTCCTCACTCACGCTTCATTTCCCGATTCCTCCTTTCTTCTCTCTGCTTGCCCACCAGCCCTGTTTGGGGCAGTGTGAAAGAGCTGTGCCCTTATAGGACGGGTCCACCGCGAACCATCACAGAGCCCTCTGGCCGCCGTGGGGACACGTATGGAATGGCACGTATTCAAGTGGGGAGTTTATCATCATGAGAGAACTGCGGCAGATTTTCCAAAGCACATCCATTATCTGGATAACTGGCCTCACTTTCCACTTTGCTTTAGCCGCAAAGATGGGCTCTTCCCTTAACATTTACCGCAAGCTAGCCTTTGAAAGGAATCAGGAACGCACTACATTAAGTTTGGGGACAGATGTTTAACAAGCGAGCACCTGAAAATTTGGTCGGTAAAAGAAGGGACGTACCTGTGTTTGTAGTCCTTTAAGACTCTGTTAGTGTAAAAGGTGGCAGCCTCATTCATCTCCTTGACATAAGGACCGGGTTTGGGGGACTGGGCGAACAGGACCGTCACCCCAGCATAGAAGAAAAAAAAACAGGATAAGAAAGAAAATGTCTTAAGGATGAAGAAAAGCCATGGAAAGTTGGAGACAAACATTTTGTTCTGTAAGGATAAGTGAGACATTTCCACATCTCCGAGCACAAAGCATCGAACTGCAAACAGGGTGAGAGCTGGTGCGTTCACCCCGAGAGGAATCTCCTGGGGTGTAACGGGCAGGAAGGAGCCCGAAGGTAGCCCAAAGTTCTCCTAAACACTCCAAAAAATGACAGGTGCAGGGGCCAGACTCACCACAGCTATCCACCCAAGGGCAGGGATGCTTTCGCTGACGGCCGAGAGATGATTAAACATTTTACTCCCCCGGTTTCTCTCTCTGAAAGTTTGGATTTCCTGGATCTTTTCTGAGATTGGTTTCAGAAGCGCAGCGACATCATTCTGCAAGCAAACATTGAACATTGTTACTAAAAAGCAGGGCAGAAGTTCAGGTCTCCAGGCTGGCCTCAGCAGGAGTACTTGCCATTGGTCAGGGGCTTTCAGACTAGAACGGAGGGCTGTTGTTACCGTAATACTATGTTTTCATTCTCTGAAGTGTGAAAATTGTACATATTTTTAACATTATGAATGCCGTCTCCTGAGACATGGAAGAAACCCAGCATATGATACAGCGCCTGTTTTAGAGTGCAGCATGAACAAGGAAATTGAGTGTGGTCAGTTTAATTTCGAAATGGAACGTATAGGCCACACACACTGGAATAACACAGGTCTAAAATCAGGGTGGGTGATGGGGGCGCTTGGGTGGCTCAGTCAGTGGAGCATCTGACTCTTGGTTTCGGCTCAGGTCATGATCCCAGGGTCATGGGATCGAGCCCCATGTTGGGCTCTGCACTGAGCTGAAATTAAAAAAAAAAAAAAAGATGAAAATAAAATCTGGGGTGGGGGGAGACATTAGTAAAAAGGTATCTTCTTGCTCCTGTGGGAATAGATGCGAGGGAGGGTCTTGGTTTTACCAGTTACCATAATCCACGTGAAAAAGTGGAGATCTTCCATGGTGGCTCTTTTTTAAAAAAATGTGATGGCTTACAATATTTACGGTTACCTTAGTCTGGTTTGGCTTTCTACGTTGTGCCTCGTGAACCTGGCCAACAACTACTGGTTACTCTCACTTGTGATTAATTCAACAACTGACTTCTCTAGTCATGCAGAAAACGACTTTCAAAATTATGTGAGCCGGTTATGAAGTATCACAGAGACAGGAGCCTGTACTCCCTCCCCATCCACCCCTGGAGCAGTCTCTTCTCTTTGGTTTTGAAGTAGATACAAGATTACCTGTTTGGTTTTTTTTGTTTTTTGTTTTTTGTTTTATGTGTTCCAAAGAACTAGAAACAGCTTGTACTCCGGCAATATTTTACTAAATGGTGTTTGCAGAATGTTAAATGGAAAGGCCCCTAAAGCTCTTTCATTTCTTTTACTGAGACTTCAGAGCAAAGGTTCTCAACCTTGGCCACACATTGAAATGATCTGGGAGCTTTGAAAAACAGAGGGCTGGGTCCCACCCTGCCACTGTGATTTCACTGGTCTGGAGGTGGTCTGGGGTAGGGATGTGGGGGGAGCATTTCACCTCCAGACCAGTGAAATGCTCCTCAGGGGCAGATTTTAATCACTGCTACAGTGATGGCTTAGCACCCCAAAGGGCAGTTGTTCCTGCCAGGGACGGCAGACCGTTGGGGAAGAAGCCACAGTCGGCCGCAGCAGCTTCCAGACCTCACTTCTCCTTCTTGACCCTTTTATATACCCTTCCCTACAAGAAATGTATGTTAAGAGCCGACACTGGTTCGAATCTCAGCTCTGCCACTTACTACCGATGTGGCCTTGAGCAAATGACTTAATCTGAGCTTTGGTCTCCTCATCTGTAATTCAGAGATAATACCTACAGCCTGTAGACTACAGGACATACAGCATTTCAAGCTTTCATTTCATTTCATTTCATTTCATTTCAAGATTTACTCTTCTGTAATTAGCTCGGTGAGGAAGTAAAAGGGATGTCCTCTAGCATATGTAATACTCCTTTGCTTCAAGTAAGTGTCTGTGCATTTAAGATAAGAGAGGCTCCAAATAAATATCCACCTAGGTTAATAGGATTTTAGGATTACAGGAGTCCAAACTGGGTCATCTAGTTCAGGTTCTGATAGACCCGTCTGAGTAGGTCATGATCAGTGTTTTAAAAAGTAACTGAAACAGAAGAAAAAGTATCAGAGGGCATTCACATGTATTTCATGTGGGTGGGTGCGTCCCAAACATTTGTTTCAGTTACCCAGTGCCTGTGCGTGTACATGCGTGTGTACAATGTATTTCTCATCATGAATCTCAGTCTAAAATTTTAAGAAGTGTGGATGGAATCCAGTTCTCCCATTTCACGTAATTAGGAGACAAGATCAGCTAGCCAGTGTTAGTAGAGCTGGGGCTAGAACCCAGGTCTTCTGGGAGGCCCTGAAACAACTTTCTGCATCCGGTGCTCAGAAAAATACAGTTAGCTCTCCACACACAAGTTTCCTCCCTGCCAGCAAGAGTAGGGGAAGGTATTGTGAAGAGATTAAGGGCTCAGATCTGGAAAGAGACCACCTGGGTTCAAGTCCTTGCTCCCCAGTGTACTAAACCCCAGGCCATTCATCAGATTACCAAATGTGTCTATGATTCCACGACCTCATCTGCAAAATAGTGTTGATAATGGTACCCACTTGACTGGACTGTTAGGAGGAGTGAATGAGAGGAAGCTGTCTGTACTCGGTATAGAGTCAGGTGCACTGGGGTGCTCCGCAAGCAGGGCGTGATCTCAAGGTCTCTGCCAGGGAAGCCTCCAATCGCCCACATTCACCGACCAGTTCCCTCTTATCACTTGTATGCAAGCACAAGAAGAGAGATTTCCTAGTTGGGATATGCAAATGGACAGAGGCACGCTTTTTGTTTTGTTTTGTTTTGTTTTTGACACCTTGATTTAGGACTTCCAGGCTCTAGAACTGTGAGAAAGTAAATGTCTGTTGTTTAAGCCCCCCAGTCTGTGGTACTTCCTTTTGGCACCTGTAGAAAAATAACCTAAGGGCGTGATGGCTTTATAGGAGAAGCAAACACCTCCAAACCCCCAACAACAACTCCCAAATCAAGCTCTGAATAAAACAGTCACCCCCCACCAAATACTCCTTGCCTCAAAACTCCATGCCTCTTCCATGTTTGTTTGTTAATGGCAGCCAAAAGTCAGGTTTAAATGCTCTCCTTGGAATTTCACTATATGTTTATTTAAAAAAAAACTTTTTTAAATTAAGTAAATACTACCCACGATGTGGGGCTTGAACTCACAACCTCAGAATCAAGAGTCACATCTTCTATAGACAGAGCCAGTCAGGCACCCCTGGAATTTCACTCTTTAGAAGGGAAACATTGCCCTCTTCAAGGGAGTCTTTTTAGTCTAAATCCTACATCAGATCCAAGGTGTGTTATAGGTATTTCTAGAAGGCAGCTGATTTTTGCTTATGGCAAAACTACTAAAAAGCATCCTAATTTCCTCCAACAATTTGCTAAGCTGTAATATTCTTGATGCAGTGACATTTCTGAGAAAGGCCAGAATATCTGAATTGTTGGTGATATCTGGCCTATTGCCCCAAGGGGAAAAATAACCAGAAACACTGTATTTACAATGTTAGATAGATTTATTAAGGCCATCTTCATTTATCTCTAACTTCCCAAGAACAAACTCTAAAGTCTGAGGAGACAGAGGGATATTATACATTGGTTATCTGATGAAAGCATCATAAAGATTGAGAAAAGTTTCCTTTTGCCTTGGTTTGGCAATTGCACAAAGAACTGTCCTCATTAAGAAAGACATAGAGAGAGAGAGAGAGAGAGAGAGAGAGAGAGGAAGAAAGGAAGGAAGGAAGGAAGGAAGGAAGGAAGGAAGGAAGGAAGGAAGAAGGGAGAAAGAGAGAGAAAGAAAAAGAAAGAAAGAAAGAAAGAAAGAAAGAAAGAAAGAAAGAAGGAAGGAAAGGAAAGAAGAAAGAAAAAGAAGGAAAGAAGGAAAGAAAAAGAAAGACAGAAAGAAAAGAAAAGAAAAGAAAAGAAAAGAAAAGAAAAGAAAAGAAAAGAAAAGAAAAGAAAAGAAAAGAAAAGGAAGGAAGAAAGACCGGCTCAGAGAACTAAGTAAAACAGCTATTTGCATAACCTTAATAAACACTATAGCTTTTATTCAGTGCCAGATTTCTCCTGTACTGCAAGCTAGGCTAACACTCTCCAGCTCATCCTGAACGTTCACAGCTGGAATCAAAAACAGAGAACAGTAGGGTTATGGTGTGATTTCCATCAAGGCTGACTGTGTAGGGATGTCAGATGAAAGGCAAATGGGAGAGAGGCTTTCAGTTACAAGTATTTCCACCTGTTAAGTACTGAGTAGGTACTAGGCGTACTCAATAAATACAGGCTGAAAGGCACATGTCAATGAACACTACAAAAGGGCTTTCCACTCGTAGAAGGGGATACATTTAGGAGGTGTCCTGGGTTGTTTCAATGGATGCATTGGTGATGGCTCCTCAGACCGCATCTAGCTTTAGGCTGACTTGGGATTGGCCAGTTGTACCCAGGTCTCATTCAGATGACTTCCTTCCTTTTTTCCTTCCTCCCTTCCTCCCTTCCTTCCTTCCTTCCTTCCTTCCTCCCTCCTTCCTTTTCTTTCTTTCTCTCTCTCTCTCTTCCTTCCTTCCCTCCCTTCTTCCTTCCTTCCTTCCTTCCTTCCTTCCTTCCTTCCTTCCTTCCTTCCTTCCTTTCTTTTAAAAAATTTTTTAAATCTTTATTTATTTTTGAGAGACAGACAGAGTGTGAGCAGGGGAGGAGCAGAGAGAGCGGGAGACACAGAATCTGAAGCAGGCTCCAGGCTCTGGGCTGTCAGCACAGAGCCTGACACGGGGCTTGAATTCATGGACCGTGAGATCATGACCTGAGCCAAAGTCAGACGCTCAACAGACTGAGCCACCCAGGTGCCCCAGATGACTTTCTTTAAACTCAGGTTTCTATTACTCTGAGAGACCTTTCCTTGGAAGAAAACCACTTTGCAAGGTTCAAATGAAGGGTTAACTGGAAAATCTTCTCTTCCCCTTCCCCCAGTTTCTGTGGGCTTTAACAGAAGGAGAAAATGACCAAAATGGAGGGGAGAGAGAGACATCAGCTGACTGTTAGTTTCAGGAAATGTTCTACAGGACTGTCTCAGCTTGATGGGACTGTGCTTTGGAGAGTATTTCAGGACTCGGTGTCTTTATGACCCTAGTTTCTGCCTTGAAGTTGAAGAATTGAGATCCAGTATCATCAACTTCATCTCAGCTTAGTTCCAGAAATAATTGTTTTGCAGAAAGTAAAATTAAAGAGCTTTATCAGCAAGCTCTGTAGAAACTTTACCC